GAGTGGTGGGGAAAGGGGCCACGGTGGGGCTCAGCAGGGCCGGCGTGGCTACTTGGCCATGGGGGAGTAGAGGGCCCCTCGTTTCAGGCAGGGTAGGAGCCAGGGGAGGCCTGGCAGCCGGGCCAGGACCGAGGCAGGGGCTGGTGTGGTGACAGGCGGGGGACGCAGCTGGTGGAGGAGAGGTGGCAGTGACAGCAGGATGCAAGGCCCATGGGGCTGAGATGGGGGTGAGGTGTCGCTGGGGTGCCCCTTCCCTAGTCCCGTCCCACGTGGGTGGGTGAAAAATCCAGTCTGGGGGCAGCACCATCAGCCCTGGGGCTGACAGGACTCATAGGACGTCGGGTCAGGGCCTGGCGCTGGCTCCTTGCAGCTCGCGGGCAGGGCTGCTCTGTCTTCTGCAGCTGGTGAGCTGGGAGCGGAGCCGGCACTGCCCTGGAAGTGCCAGAGCCAATTCTGGTGCCTGTGAGGCCCCTTTGAGGTTCCAGGCCATGAGGACAGTCTCCTGCGTCCCTTGCCCCACGTAGCCGCCTGGAGCATGCAACATGGGCAGAGTGGCTGTCCTCGGGGGCCAGCTGCCAGGTGCAGGGAGCATGCCGGGACCCGTCCTGCTTGCGCAGAGCGAGTGGGGGTCCTGCTGCAGCTGGGCGAGCGCCAGGCCCTGTGGGGGCCCTGAGGGGCGCTGGGTTTAAGCTCTCATGGGTGTACGTCGGGGCCATCGTGCTCATTCTGTCCCTGTACCTGCACTGTAGGACTCGCCGCGGGCAGCCTCATGTCCCTGCTTGATGCCGTAGACCCCCAGACAGGAAAGTACCTGCCAGGCACGGCCCCGCACTGCTGGGGAGCTCAGGGCAGTGCATCCCTGAGTCTCTGTGGGGCTGCTGTTGTCAAGGGATTAAAAATGGAACCAGGACACGTGCTGTTTGCCTGACTCTGGGCTGGGGTGTCTGTTGATTAGAGTGGAGAGAGGGGGAGCTTGTGGGCCTTTGGGGTCCCAGTTTCTTGGGCGTGATGCTGTGCCAAGTTGAGCCAAGCCTGGGTCAGAGTTGGGGATCGGGAGGGTCTGTGGAGCTGTGGGATCCCATGCAGGGTGGTGCTGGACTTCCTCCAGCTCTGTTCCCCGACCCGCTCCCCCACTGGGAGATGCGAGCACCCGGGCCTGGCTGGGCCTGCAGATAAGCCTGTGGATGCCAGATCTGCTTCCTGCAAACTGCTGCAGGCACCCGTGACGCTGGAGTCAGTCATGAACTTCCCCTTCAGCTCTGAGTCCAGCTCTGTCCCCAGCCTTCGGCAGTCCCCACGGTTTTCCACAGGGCTGCCAAGGAGGGGGATGCGAGGCTCCTGTCCTGGCTCCCTCCGGGAGGTGCCCCAGCTGAGGGGCTGCCAGGAGCAGAGGGGCTGTGGGAGGCGATGTCCAGGTCCCAGGGCTGTGTGTGGGAAAGGGGGGCAGGGAGCCCTGCTCCACAGCGGGGCCCCGTGTCCTTACAACACCCCTCCCCACAGCAAGAGCCACAATGGACGACATCTTCACGCAGTGCCGGGAGGGCAACGCGGTGGCCGTGCGCCTCTGGCTGGACAACACTGAGAACGACCTCAACCAGGGGTGAGCAGGAGGGGACCTGGCCCGGGCTGGACCCACGGGGCTGCTGTCCCCAGCTCAGCCACGTCACAGGCCGAGGGTGCTGGACCAGGGCCGGGGCTCGTTTCCGCTCTGCTCCGTGTCCTGGGAGGGGGTGGGATTCGGCTCCTCCCCGCCGGGAGGAAGTTACCGCATGGCTGAGGCATGAGGGCCGCACATCCTCTAGCCGCTTCCTCGGCCGCTACTGCTCCCGGCGGGACGGGATGTGTCTTGGCCAGGGGTTGGGCTGAGGGTGCTGGGGAGAATCTCCCCATCCCCAGGGTGGCTGGTGTGTCTGAGTGACCGTTTCCACTGTCCCCTCTCCTGGGAGCACTGCAGCTGACATGTGGGATCACGGCTAGGGTCTAACAGGAGGGCCGGGAACTGCAGGGCACTCATGCCCGGCCGACCCGTGCCCTGCCCCAGATCTCTCCTCCCCACAGCATGTTTCCTGCTCTGGGAGCTCCCACAGGACCATGCGGTCTGACATGCTGCCCGCCTGCCTTTCAGGAGTGGTGTTCAGGCCAGGCACAAGGTTTAGAGCAGACACTTCCATTGCCTGTGGGCAGGCACAGCCTTCTGCCTGCACACCGACCATCCCTTGTCAGGCCACAGCAGCACCTTCCCTGAACTCATTCTGAACAAGGGGCCTTCCCTTGGCCATCTCTTTCAGTCCCTCCTGGGTGTCCCAGTCACACAGACCTGTCCCAGTCCCACCAGTTGTGCCTGAGGGTCTGGGGGTCAGCTGGCACTCGCTGGGGCGCTTTGGTCCCAGGTGCCTGTGCTGGGGTACCCCCTGCCTGCAGGGCCGGCTGGCCTGCCTATCCACAGGGGCGGTGTGGGGCAGGTGGAGGGCAGATGGAGTCTGCCGTGCCAGGGGGCTGGAGGGGAGCTGGGGATGCAGTAGCCCCCGCCTGCCAGGCCCTAATCTCCTTTTAAGGCCTGGCTGGTCTCCTCCTCCCTTACTTGGCCAGGCACCGCCGGAGCCGAGGGGGGACAGGGGAGGGGGATCCGGCTCTTGCCAGCGTCTCTGTGATTCAGCCCTGGAGATGGGATCTGGCCAGGGCCTCCGGGGCCCTCGTGGGGATGGGAGAGAGCAGGAGAGTTGCTCAACCCTTCCGCTTCGCTGCCGTGGCCTGCTGGCAGGCGCGCAGGGTGATACCTACCTGGCTGCGGTGCTGTCAGCAGCATCCTGGCCATGCTCGGCCCTTCTCTCCCCGCACGTGCCGAGGGAGGACACAGCAGGCAGGCTGCAGCCGATCAGCAGAGCTGTCCTTGCCATCTCCGCAGGGATGACCATGGCTTTAGCCCCTTGCACTGGGCCTGCCGCGAGGGCCGCTCCAATGTGGTCGACATGCTCATCATGCGGGGAGCACGCATCAACGTGATGAACCGCGGTGATGACACCCCGCTGCACCTGGCTGCCAGCCATGGCCACCGCGACATCGTGCAGAAGGTACTTGCCTCCCGCAGCCAGCAAGCACCCTGCCCGTGGCAAACTGAGCAGAACTCTGTGCAGCCCTCTGCCGTGTCCACCCAGGACTCGCTCCCCACTGTCACCTGCTGGCTTCCTTGTTATGAGCTTACTGCATCCCCACCTTGGCACCTCTGAGCACCTCCACCTGCCCCACAAAAGCCCTGCATCCAGCCTCAGTCCCTTCCCAACAGCAGACCTTGGCAGCACCAAGGCAGCAAACATGCTGCTGGTGGTGTTCCTGCCCTCGCCTGGGTGGAAGGGGACCTGCTCAAGACTGATGGGGATTGTCCTCCTGCCCCCAGCTGATCCAGTTCAAAGCAGACATCAATGCAGTGAACGAGCATGGGAACACGCCTCTGCACTATGCCTGCTTCTGGGGACATGACCAGGTGGCGGAGGTGAGTGGAAGCACTTGGACACAGGCAGGAGTCCAGGGCGAGGGAGGGCGCTGAGGGGAGCATGGGGAGGGAGAGGAGGGATGAGGCAGGAGGGCTGGGTGTGTATGGAGAGGCTGAGAAGAGGACACCAAACTCTGCAGATGCATGCTTTCTCCTCCCTCAGGACCTGGTGGGCAATGGGGCCTTGGTCAGCATTGCTAACAAATATGGCGAGACACCTATTGACAAAGCCAAGACACCACTGCGAGAGGTCCTGAAAGGTAATAGGTTCTCATCCTGACCCCATGACCTGCCTCTGGGTCCTGCTGCAGCCCCTGTGCTCAGCATCAACAAGCTCTCTGCTCGTGCTGCCCAACTCCTTGTCCCTCTCCAGAGCGTGCTGAGAAGCTGGGCCAGAGCCTCACCAAGATCCCCTACAAGGATACATTCTGGAAGGGCACGACCCGCACGCGTCCCAGTAAGGACAGAGCCTTCTGTCACGGGGCACGCCACTGCAGGGGAGAGCACAGCTCTCCTGTGCGGTAGGGCAGGCACCCCACTGGCACTGCCTCCCTCTGTGGTCCCAGGCAGACCTCAGGAGGACGGCCCATGCAGCCACAGGCTGCATCTCCTCCTTTTCTTACAGGAAACGGGACTCTTAACAAACTTGCTGGAATAGACTTCAAACAGCTGAGCTTGAGCCAAAAACTCAATGAGAACCAGTCAGGAGAGGTATGTAGGCCTGTTGTCCCCTGGGACAGGGTAGCTGCACCCGCGCAGATCGCTGCTCTCTCTGCTGGCTGTGGAGCGCAGAACTGGGGCACAACGGCCTGGTGGGTTTCCACATCCGGGCATGTGGCTCTCACTCTTTGTCGCAGTCGCTCCATGTCGCTGTGGACCTCTTGGTCCTCTGGGCTCCGCTGGCCCCACAGCCCTGCACAAGGGGCTGGGAGATGCTCGGGGACCATGTGGCCCTCCCGCAGTGACTGTCTCCACCTGTCTCCCTGCAGCTGTGGAAAGGGCGCTGGCAAGGCAATGACATCGTCATCAAAATGCTGAAAATCCGGGACTGGACAACTCGGAAGAGCCGAGACTTCAACGAGGAATACCCAAAGCTGCGGTGAGTACCAGCATCCTTCCCCAAGGCAGCCATGGCTCTCGAGGGCAGGCGTTGCCTCCAGCTGAGTACGAGACAGGCAAGAGCTAACCAGGTCTGTAGGGTTGGGTGGGAGCGCTCCGGAGCAGTGCCCAGAGGATGCGAGAAGGCCCTGGGAGGACGGTGCAGCGGGACAGGTGCAAAAGGCAGGGGGGTGATGAGGGGGCATGGGCAGCACCCACTGTTCTCAGGGCTGTCACTTCTCTTGCAGGATCTTTTCTCACCCCAACGTGCTACCAGTGCTTGGCGCCTGCCAGTCCCCCCCCGCGCCCCACCCCATTGTCATCAGCCACTGGATGCCCTATGGCTCCCTCTACAACGTGTTACACGAGGGGACAAGTGAGTGCCAATGAGGGTGACAGAGCCAGGGGCAGAGGCTAATCTCCCAATCCTCAAGAAATTGTTTCTTCATGTGTTTGGGGGGCAGCAGGGGTCCCCCCCACCTGCAACACTAGGGTGGGCCCACGGCAAGCTTGGTCTCCAGCCCACATGCCTTCCCCACATCCCGTGTGCGGCGTAGCTGCCAACATCACTCCCCTTCCCACACACACCGCAAGTGACGTAGCACCCCCCTGCTGTCACTCACACTCATGCTGCCTCCCTCCCTGCAGACTTCGTGGTGGACCAGATGCAGGCGGTGAAATTTGCCTTTGACATTGCACGGGGCATGGCCTTCCTGCACACATTGGAGCCCCTCATTCCACGCCACCACCTCAACAGCCGCAGCATCATGGTGAGTGTCAGCATCACGTGGCCCAGCCCTTCCTCCTGCGGACCAGGGCAGGGCAGGCTCCCCTCTGACCACCCCTCTCTCCCCAGATCGATGAAGACATGACAGCACGGATCAGCATGGCTGACGTGAAGTTCTCCTTCCAGTGCCCAGGGAGGATGTACGCACCAGCATGGGTAGCACCAGAAGGTGAGTGCCTGGTAGCCAGGCCCCCCGCTGCTGCTTGGCCCCTTCCTCCCCCTCAGTCCCATTCAGCCCCCTATGCTGGATTCCCCACAGCCTTGCAGAAGAAGCCGGAGGAAATTAACAGGCGCTCAGCTGACATGTGGAGCTTTGCAGTGCTGCTGTGGGAGCTGGTGACCCGTGAGGTGCCGTTTGCAGACTTGTCCAACATGGAGATAGGCATGAAGGTGAGGAGAGGGCTGGGCAAAGTGCACCACTCCAGATCAGCCAGGGCAGAACAGGGCCTAAGCAGGCAGTGGGGAGGGGAGGCAAGGCAAGGCCCCCACCAAAGGAGAGCCCACCCCCACTCCTCCCAGAGGTATGATGGGCTCTGCCTCTCCAATGCAGGGCTGGGCTCAGGTTTCTGATCCTGCCCTGCTCTCCCGTGCTCCCAGGTGGCCCTGGAGGGGCTACGTCCAACCATCCCACCCGGCATATCCCCCCACATCTGCAAGCTGATGAAGATCTGCATGAACGAGGACCCAGCCAAGCGCCCCAAGTTTGACATGATCGTGCCCATCCTGGAGAAGATGCAGGAGAAGTAGGGAGGGAGGTGCCTCCCAGCCACCCGATGCTGCCATGCTCCCCTCCCCGCCATCCCCCAAGTGCCTTCTTTAACCCCAGAGCCAAGGGGGAGCAGGGAATGCCCCCTCACCCTGAGCCAGCCATGGACACACGGTACAGACAACGCTGCCTTCTCTGGAGCTGCTCTGCAGGCTTCAGACACTGTAGCACCAAATCTGTGGCAGCACCTCCATCCTCCCTGGCGGCTGTGGGCAGAGACTGAGCAGGAGGCCTGGCACACAACACTGAACATGGCTTGGGCTCTGCTACCTGCGAGGCTGGGACAGGTCTGTGGAGCCACCCTGGTCCCCTCATCCCCAGGCCCAGAGCAGCTCACCCACTTAACAGTCTCATGTTAGGCAACGCCCAGTCCTGGTGCTCTTCCCTACCAAGGACAGTGGGGTGAAAATTGCCTGTTGCGCCCAGCACCACCCCAGCTTCGCGCTTCACTCTATCGTTTCCATCCAGGCCATGCGGAAAAGCCACCAGCATCTGAAATAAACATTTGTTATGAAAACTGGCTGCTGGTGGAGAGGCACATACGTGCACAGGGTGTTGTCCACAGAAAGGGGGTGAGGCTGATGCAGGAGCTGCCCAACAGACTGCAGAGTCCTAGGCTCTGGATCTGCGCCTGTACCAAGTCTCCAGTGACTAGAGCAAGGAAAAGCAGGTGGGTTAACGGCACCCTCCTCTCCTGAGAGAAGGGCCTGGCCCTGTCTACGGGGCTGTCGATGCAAGCCCCTGAGCATTCCTCTTGAGAAACAATAGGTATGCTTGGAGGACAAAGAGAAGAAGAGTTGTGGGCAGTCCTGCTCCCACTACACCCTTTCCTTCAACTTCTTGGGGCAGGGCTAAGCCCTCCTGGGAACGACAGACAGTGCAACTAGAATCCACCAGTTATGAGCCCTACAACCAACCTCTCTCTCTGCACTGGCCTTTGAAAGGCACGGGACCAACTTTTGTTAGCACAGTGAGAACAGAGGCCCTAGCAGGCCAGCTTATGTGCTGTTTTACTTGTAGGCAGGGCATTAGCGCACAGGCAGGAGACAAGATGCCTTTCCACAAAAAAAACTACCCAGCTGTTTAATGGCACAGAAGCGACCCTAAAAAAGTTCCCAGTGACAATCCCTCAGTCTTTATGTGAAGTAATGTGGCTTTTTCACATTGATGCCATATTCTGCAAGTGCTGGTGTCAGGTCTTCCATGGTCAGCGTATACTTCTTATCCTGAAGGGACAAGGAGTAGTGTCAGTCACAGCAAGGATGAGCTAAGCTGCCAGGCATTCCTCAAAACGTTGGGGATTTAGGATTTTTCCCCTACAAGCTATGGTGACCCATACATGCACAACTCCCAGAAGCAGCTGCAGGCCAGTGTTTGGGGCATTAACCAGCTTTTAGGTACCACACGTTTTGTTTGCTCTGTGCCCACAGCTGCTCAACAGATAGAAAGACGTTGAGCATTACTCAATGCTATAAAGATAAATAACATCACCCTCACAAGGCCCGCAAACCACAAACGGATGATGACTGAGAGAATTCCCAGAAACTACCACTACACGCTCGCTCCGCATTTATGCTCTTCCCCAAGCATCAGAGTTTTGGTCACTGTCAGAGGGAGGACACAGGGCTAGATAGCCCTCCGATGACGTGCAGCTACTCGCATGTTCCTGTGAAGCCATCAAAGCAACATTCCACAAACTGTGCTGCCCACCTCATTTTCTCACCAGCGCCCCTTTTCCACCAGTGGAGCCCTTGCTTATTAGTAAGCATGTTGACCCTTCAGGAGCACAACACATTCAAGACCTTCTACATTCTGCATCCCTGCATTCAATTAGTTAATTAGTAATTAACTCTAACAGGTGGCCAGTTTGCTTGCTACAGCCCCTGGAGAGGACGTTTCCCCTCATCTGAGCAGCCATTCTGTCCTTCTCTCACCTTGCTCTTATTGCGGGAGCTGCCCGAGGCTGTTCCCTTCATCTTGCAGTGCTGCAGTGCATCGTTGGCAATGTCAGAAATAAACTTCTGTGCGGCCAGAGAGATCAAACGAATGCTGCCCAGCAGAGAAAGAGAAGGGATAATTTCACACAGACAGCATAGAGCACCCCTGGGATTAAGGAATTTCAGGTGGGGGGGGTGGGAGGGAGCATCCCAGCTATCAAACCCCGTAGAGGGCCCTCGAGGCCGCGCTCTGCCACTTACATGCGTGGATCAGAGGCCTCGAATCCTGCTCTGTTGAGGTAATAGCCCGTGACAGCATCGGGGATCTGTACAGGAGAAAAGTTGGAGGAACTCCGCTCCCTGTGGCAGCCCGTCACCTGCGTGCCGCCTGCCCCCAGTGCCTCCCGTGTACCGTGGGCGTGTAATCCTCCAGCTGCATGAGGAAGTCCACCAGCGGCGTCGTGGAGACCACCGGCTTCACGTCCCCATTGGCCGCGCTGGGTGGCACGTAGACCCCGTTGGACATAGCCCCCTCCGGGGGAGCTGCAGCCACCGCTGCGGAGACGGGCACTGCGGGCACAGGGCGCTCAGCGGGCAGCTCTCCTCGGGGGCAGCCGCGGCCCTACCCGGC